TTTATTATAATATTTTTATTGTATATTATATTATATTATATATTATAAGATATAACTACTATATAATATATTTTAATTATATTATAATATCGAAAGGTAATTATGAAAAAAAGAAAGAAAATAACTTGAAATGGTTATTCTTCCCATGTAAGGAACGAATGAAGATTCACTTAAAATAGGTGAATGACCATTCATTTCTTATAAATTCAACCAAACATTAAATTTGAATTTCATTTCATTCTATTTATTTCCTTTTCACCCAACCAAACACACCATTAGTTCGAAGCACCGAATGCTTTGGAGTTTGGAATAACGTTTATAAATAAGGATTATTTTTATTGGTGCCACTTAAGTTTTGGGGTCATTTCCAGTTTACTCTTGAACTTTAAAAACTCTTATTTTATTTTCTGAATTTTGAATTGTTCTCACTTAACCACTTTTGTTGTAATTTCTATTAAAATCAAATGAAAAAAGATGGTGTTAACTGTTAAGTGCGGTCATGTGGTTTTTATCTATTTCTTTTTAACAAAAATTCAAACAGAAAGACTACATGATTACGTTATCCAAACATAAGGGGTTAAGTAAAAACAATTTAAAGTTTAAAGGGCAAACTAAAAATGAACTTAATGTTTAGAGGCATCAATGATAATAATCTTATAAATAAACAAGCTTATTACCAAAAAAAAAAAAATGATTATGAGTAAATAAAGCAAATATGAATTATCTCCCTCATTAAAATAAAAAAATGAAATCTTTATGGTAAAATATATAAAAGAAATTTTAGCACAAACAACTTTTTTTAAGCATTTATTTCATAAATGGCTGAAGTTTTGTAAAATTATAAAAATAGTCATTTTTATTAATTTAATGGTCAATTACTAATTGATTTAGCAGTCTATAATTAATTGATTTAGCGGTCAATTACTAATTACCTTAATGGTCTATCAACGAGTGACTTTAGTTTATTATTGATTAACTTAATGATTCTTTGTTGTTAATCAATATCAATTAATAATTAACTAAAATCATTTAGTAATTAATCAATTTAAATTAAT